TCTGGATTGTAGTAAGGCTTTTGATACTGTCTCTCACAGCACCCAGAAATTGTCCAGCTGTGGGATGGATGGGTTCACACTGTGTTGAGTGAAGAACTGGCTGAAGGACAGAGCTCAAAGGGTTGTCGTGGATTGGGCTGCGTCTGGCTGGCGACTGGTCACCAGCAGTGTTCCTCAGGGTTCCATGCTGGGGACAGTTCTGTTCAATATATTTCTCAAGGCTTTGGATACAGGAGTTGAATGCATAATTAGCAAGTTTGTTGACGGCACCAAACTGGGAGGGGTGGTTGACTCTTTTGAGGGACAAGAGGCTTTTGCAAAGGGATCTAGAGAGATTACAGCATTGTGCTGTGATTAATTGGATGAAATTTAGCAAGTGCAAATGCCAGATTCTGCTGCTAGGATGAGGTAACACCAGGTACAGCATAAACTGGGAGAGGAGAGGCTGGGGAGCAGCCCTGCAGAAAGTGAACGGGGGGTGCCGGGGCGTGAGTCAGCAGTGTGCCCTGGCAGCCCCGAAGGCAAACCACATCCTGGGGGGCATCAAACCCACCATGGCCAGCTGGTCAAAGGGGTGACTCTCCTGCTGTGCTCAGCAATGGTGTGACTTCACCTCGAATACTTTGTGCAGTGCTGGGCCCTATAGGTTGAGAGGGATGTCATTGTCCTTGAATGTGTCCAGAGGAGGGTAACAAATCTGGGGGTGAAATGGCTGGAAGAAATGTGCTGTGGGCAGTGGCTAAGGGCTTCAGGCTTGTCTAGTTTGGAGAGAAGGAGGCTGAGGGGTGACCTCATTGCTCTGCAGTTTCCTGAGGAGGGGCAGTGGAGAGGGAGGTGCTGATCTCTTCTCTGTTGTACCCATTGGTAGGATGTGGGAATGGTGCAAAGCTGTGCCAAAGAGTGTTCTGACTAAACATGAGGAAGCTTTCCTCTACAGAAGGGGTAGTGAAACACTGGAGGAGGGTTCCTGGAGAGCTGGCTGATGCCCCAGGCATAAATATATGGGGTATCAATATAATGGCTATTTAAGTTGCTGGTGTTTAATCTTGGTTTTGCACTTTTAAACTACTAAAGGCTGCAATGCTTCTGTAGACTGAGTGTGTTACACATTGGTGCTTGTACCAAGGAGCTGGGACTGCTGTCGAGACAACAAGATATAAATCAATGGGGTTTTAATACTTGCATTGAAAGATTGTCAAAACATAAAATTGTCTAACAGTTTGCCAAAAACTGAACATCACATTTGTATGTCTAGAATTTGTTTGGAATGTTGAAGAGGATTTCAAGCCTGTTCCAGATACGTGGATTCCAGCAAAGGACACAGAGTTCTCTCATGGCAATCCTTTGCCCGATGAAAACGGACACATGCCAGGTACCTGTGGTGCAGCACAGGTGAAATGGGGCAGGAGGGGATGCACTTTTGAAGTGGGTTGTGATTAGTTCCAGAGTTAAAAGGAGTAGTTAACAGATGCAGAAAACAGAGACAATGTCATAGAACCGTAGAGGTCTTTTCTGGTCTTAATGATTCCATGATTCTAAGGTCATAAAGTCCAGCCATCAAACTAGCACTACCATGACCACTCAACCATGTCCCAAAGTGCCACGTTTACCTGTATCTTGAACACCTCGAGGGAGGGTGACTCCACCACCTCTCTGGGCAGTCTGTTCCAGTGCTTCGTGACTCTTTCGGGAAAGAAACTCTTCCTAATATCCAATCGAAACCTCCCCCGGCACAACTTCAGCCCGTTTCCTTGTGCTTCCACTCGTTACTTGGGAGGAGAGACCAACACCCTCCTCACCTCAGTCCAACCTCCTTTCTGGTAGTTCTGGAGAGCAATAATGTCTCCCCTCAGCCTCCTCTTCTCCAAACTAAACAATCCCAGTTCCCTCAGCCGCATCTCCTAAGATCTGTTCCCCAGACCCTTCACCAGCTTTGTTGCCCATCTCTGGAGCTGTTCCGGCACCTCAAAGACTTTCTTACATTGTGGTGCCCAAAACTGAACCCAGTACTCAAGCTGTGGCCTCACTAGTGCTGAGTGCAGGGGCACGGTCGCTTCCCTACTCCTGCTGGACAGTGTGTTTCAATCCAGGCCAGGATGCCTTTGGCCTTCTTGGCCACCTGGGCACGCTGCTGGCTCATGTTCCGTTGGCTGTCCACCAGCTCCCCCAGGTCCTTTTCCACCAGGCAGCTTTCCAGCCACTCCTCCCCAAGCCTGGAGCGTTGCCTGGGGTTGTTGTGACCCAGGTGCAGGACGCGGCCCTTGGCCTTGTTTAACCTCATGCCACTGCCCTCGGCCCACTGCTCCAGCCTGTCCAGGTCCCTCTGCAGAGCTGCCCGACCCTTGAGCAGATTGGCGCTCCTGCCCAGTTTGGTGTCATCTGCAGACTTGCTGCGGGTGCACTCGATCCCTTGTCCAGATCCCTGATGAAGAGAGGAAACAAGACTGGGCACTGGCTGACCACCCAGACAGACTTTGTTGTGGTGGCCCATGGGAAACAGCTGCAGCTTGCTGCACACCCACAGGCCATCAGCTGGGGGCACCTTTGGCACATGGGCTTTGCTCTGACGTTTCTCTGAGGTGTGATGTGGGTTTTCTTGCTCCTCTTTCTGTTTGTGGTTAGCTATTTGTAGGAGGGGTTTAATTCGTGTCTAGTACCGATTTTATAACTCTGGATGGTTCCTTTGCTAAAATGCAGTGTTTTCTCCTAGGTTGGGTGCCCGTGGAGAAGAACAGCAAGCAGTATTGCTGGCACTCATCTGTGGTGAATTACGAGGCTGAAGTCGCCCTGGTGTTGAAACCCCACACTGACCCAGGGCTGCTAGAAATCAGCCCAGTGCCACTGTCGGAAATTTTGGAGCAAACACTGGAGCTTATTGGGACTAACATTAATGCAAATCCATACGGTGAGTTTGTGTGGTCCTGTTCTTAAAGACTTCTTCATTTAGTGATATTTTGGAGTGAAAACTAGTGCAAGTGCAACTAGTGCACCTTCTTGGTGCAAGTTTTTTTAACAAGTTCTAAAGTAACCTTTTTTAGGAAGGGCCAGCTCAAAGAATGCTTACCTAAAAATACTTCAGAAAGCTGTGTTGACCTGACACTATTTATGTCTATGAAACCTCTTTCCACATGCATGTTCTTGAGGAATTATTTTAGAAATGCTTTCAGTCTTTAAGAAAAATATTCTGACTGGAAAAGTTGTTTTAAATATTACTGTCAAACTATTTTTAAAGATTGCTAGTGCCTTTTCTTGACTTTTTTTTACTTGCTCTTCTGATGCCATTTAGTTGAAAACTCTTGAAAGTGGAAAATTTTACTCATCTGTTTTTGTTTTAGTCCCTAAAGTGAGTCATAAGTTGCAATTTTTAAGCTATGAAGAATTAATATTGGACAATGTTGTAGTATCTAACAAAAGCCCCCTCAAATGGTAGACTTCTAAGATCACCGAAATAACAAAAGTAAGGAAGATCTTCAGTTATCACACGTAACTATAAAGAATATTGTTTCTTTTAACCTAGGGTTGGGAAGCAAGAAGCAGCCAGTACATCTTCTTGTACCACATGGAGCATTTGAAATCAAGAATCCACCTGCTTTGGAACCAAATGACATCCTGTCTTGGTTTGAAGGCTGCAGTGAGGGTAAAGTCGAAGGAATTGTGTGGCACTGCCACAATGGGTGTTTAATCAAGGTAAATATGTGGAAAGCACTATAATAATTCATAATATGTGTAGTGTTGTGAGGTATTCACTTTTTTCTTGTTTTCCAAATCCTTTAGAAATAAATGCTCTCCCAGGAAATCAGGGAACAGTAGAATTAGTCAAGCCAATGAATTGCTATAGTGACAACATGTTAAACTTTTTCATTATGTTATGCTAATGACTGAAAGTGATTGAGAAGATATTTTCTTGCCTCTCTATAGGAGCCACTCAACATTTTAAAGCTTCATTAATATAAAAAAAAATTCATTTCTCATACTGTTGACATAGAATAAGTATTGTTAATAAAAATGCGATTTTTTTTTTTTTTTTTTTTTTAAGAATTAATTAGCAAGCTTATATTATTTCTGAAGCTGTGGAAGAACCTTGGTTCTCATTTGACTTTTTTTTAATTTTTTTTTGTTACTTACATTACTCAGGTGACTGGTTAGTGGCTGTAAGTGCCCTAATGCAGAGGATCCTAGAATTAAAGCACACCCCCCCCCCCCCCGCCCCCCTCC